AAAGCTCTTCGATCATCTCTGCATCACAGCCCTCATCTTGCCAAAGACCTAGAAACCAATCGTCACACCACTCTTCTCATGGACTTCTGGAGCCCCTCTTCCCAAGCACAAAAGGATACAAAAAAGCAAAATAGAGCAAGTTCTCTTTTCTGTTGACTTTGCTTCTTTGCCTTCTTGACCTCTAGAGCCTCTTCCAGCAGTTCAGAAACTTCTTTGGTCTCCTTGGCCCTGCGAGAAGCTATCAACATTGACAAGAAGCTCCGCTTGGGGCCTCGCGCCAAATGGACAACTGAAACACGCCGATATATGCTGCTTGAAGCAGGCAAAAAGGCCTTGGATTGTTAAATGATAAACCGTGAAAGGCTTCACCCTGTGGCACTCATGTGAAGTGCAGCGGCCTTGTGGAACGAGCAAGGTCATCTTTGGCCGGGCCCAACCTGAGTACCGTAGTTAGGCCACGGTGCGTAGACGGCGGTGTTTCGCACGTTGTTTGTGACGCGCACAGGCAACATGTGAGACTCTCCGTTGTTTTTGAAGAAAGAAGCGTGATTGACAAAGCTTGCATGGGAGACTTGCGTTGATTGAAACATGTGAAGTTCTTGCAAAACTATGTAGTTTGGGGGTTGCTAAGAACATGCAAAACAAGCTTCTTGCTGTAGCTAACACCAACCAAAACCTCTTTTCCAACTTGGGAAACATGTGTCTGAAACACACGCTAATTTCATCAACACCCATATCATCAAGCAAAAACAAAACTTGATGTGCTGCAATCCGGATAGTCTTGTCGCAACTTTGATACGATCAAAACTGTAACATCTACATCCTGGGATGCCTCTTGATGCCACGCGAAACTCGTTTGCGGGCACGTAGCCCAACTTAGCCCACTCGTCACGTACCTGCGCCAGCTGTGTACAATGACTTTGAAGGTCTGTACAAACTTATCAATGTGCAAACTTCGACCAAGGTGTCCAAGAACTGTTGTAACAAACGAAAACCAGGGAACATCTGCTTGACCGTAGAGCGTCTCTTGAATGTTGTAACAACATCAAGCAGAATTTGAAAACCGACTCAGCATTCTGAAACGCACATCACATCCTCCCAAGGCTGCCTGGCGAAAGATGTGCAGGCTGTACGCGTTGCCAGGATACGGCTCCTGAACTGGCCAAGTGAGTTGCAGACAACACTTGTGGACTTGTGGACGGTTTGGCCGTAGAGAATGAAACCAACAAACTTGAACACTGTGCAACTTACTTCTGTGGGCGAGAGTGGAGCATTTTGTCCTGCCCCTCGAGGATTTGATGCATCCGACGGGCTTCTGTGGCCTAAAAGGATCGGTTCCGTGGGACCGAGTTGAAGCAAACCTTGCAGTTAAACGTGCCGCAGAAACAACCCGAACGTCAAAGTGTCAGAAATGACGTTGCGTCGCTTGCGGCGTGAAACCGTGGCCGCATACAGCCTCCACGGGATTGAACTTTGACCAATGCAAGAGCTGCACCAACTCAGGGCCGCCCTTGGATCCGGAAACGAATGCCGCACAATGAGCGAACATGATTGAATCTTCGTTGCAATCCCAACCATCCGCACTCCCTCAAAGGTACTCCCTAGTCAGAGCTTTTCCGGAGCATGGTGACTCGTTGACAAGTGTAGATTCAAACGTCTCTCTTCACCTTTTCTTACAAGTCGTTCACCTCTTCCATCCGGTACAATCAAACCAATTCCACGTGACCTGCCGCACGGCACGTTGCAGCAGCTTCATTCCGTGGGTCCCCACAATGCCCCGCCCACCTGCGTCGTTCAACGGTCGTTCTGGTAGCAGATTTTGGGAGGACAGCCTGCGAGGAGCCTGTGATGCTTCATGCCATCTCTACCAACATAGAAATGGGACATGACTCGCATTGCCGTGCTGTCCAACAGGGCACATCAAACTTGGTAACTGCTGCCCTCTCTGTTGTGTTTAAATAGCAGTCAACAACCCCGATTTCCCCGCGCGCAGGAATCTATGAGATCTAATTCACCATCAACCAGTGTCCACATCCATCAAACTCAAACTCTTAGGAGTTTGGGAATTGGACAAAGTAAAACACACCCAGCTCAGAAATCCGAATGCCTCGTTCCAGAACGCTCCTCATTTGCTCGGCCAAGCTTTGCAAAGTTCGTTGCGCCCAGCACCGTCCACACTTTGGAGAGCAAAGAGGCGCGACGCGCGTTTTGGTCTTGCCCTCGTAGCAAGCTTCACAGCGAGTAGGCGCGAAGAGGAAGTTGTTGGTGACAAGACACATGCAGCCTGCCAAGTTGACGATTGGGGGCAAATATGTAAAAGGAGGAAAAATCGAGGAACGAACAGTGACGACATGAGTTGAGAGGGTGAACAATTGAAAGGTGGTGAGCAAATGACTGCGAATGAGGGGGCGAGAACTGGGTGTAAAGCACGCGCTGCGAATGCATGAGGTTTGCGCTGCATAGTCTGTGACATGGCTGATAAAGTCAATGACTGAATGATTGAGTGTATGTTGGCAGAATGACACTGTATCGCTGAGTGAATAAGAGCTTGGATGTCCAAAGGCTGGTGGCAGGGCGGGGCACAGGGTTGCGATTGAAGAAAAGAACGTAGAGAAAAAAGGGAGCTGAGGGCTGCTCAGCTCCATTGCGCTGCTGCTCAAACATGGCAATGTGAGCACACTGTGAACTCTCGGAAAATTTGGGTGTTTTTCGAACACTTGAACTGCGACTCTTTGTCGCGGTCATGAACATGGCTACGACTTCTTGCCTCAACTACGAGGGCGAATGGCTTGAGTTTGCTTGGAGGGACACGGAATACGCTCGTTTCACGAGTTGGAGCGTCTGAAATGCGGTGAATTTAGTGCTTGACCCATGCATGAGGCGTGCGCACAAGTCTATCCGGCATAACATTCCCACATTGCCTTAAGACTCGTCATTCCGTACGACCGTGAATGGGAGATTGGGGCTCTTCACTCTGTTTTGAGGAAAGTCGTTGACCGATACTCAGCTGAACTGACACAAGTGTTTGGCAAACCTTTGACAGTGTCCATTTGTAACTTGCAGAATCGCCACTTGGCAAATGGCAAGTTTGTTGTGAAACATGGAGATCAATTTGAGATGGTTGGAGGTTGGGGACGGTGGTGGCTAAACCTGAAATCTGAATGCACCTTCACGGCTGAGCCGTGAGATGCAGAGTTAAACGAAGAGATCAATTTCGCAGCACTCATCTCAAGCGGTGAGGACGTAAACCCAGTAGGCTTGTGAGTGCTTTGATTGTGCGCCTTGAAGAGAGTTCCAGCTCTTTGCGTTTTCGGCGCACAAATGAGGGAAAACCTGAGGTGTTCCGTTTTGACAAGCCCGCGCCGCAAAAGGAGAGTCCTCCACCTCAGCGGGTGTGGTGCTTCAGGCCGACGCTTTCCTGGGGGCTCTGAGCTAACACCTTTGTTTCGTTGCGCTGAAATGACGTTGCCTGCGTTGCAAAAACAACGCATATGGAGAGTCCACGTGCTCTCTCATAGTGGATCTGACAGTTTTTCCTGCGGTCATGAGGAGAATGCCTCTAAAGTTGTCGCATTGTCTTTTCGGCCCTTTGCCTTGAGAGAGAGAGAGAGAGACCAGCTGTCCTCCCCTGAATTGAATAGGCTCCTCTAGCCTAGCAGCGAATTTAATCGCTAGTGGCCAAGGAAGTTGTTTTAAAGGGCTCATTGAGCACCGCCTCTGGGCCTGCAGCTGGCTGCGTTTTTGTTCGGATTGCTTCTTCCTGGTGGAGTGGTGTCACCGATAGTGGTCATGTACTTGCCATCTCTGATCCGCTCAACTGCTGGAAAACTTGGTAGGGGTGAGGTGACGCTCTCCCAGCGCTGCTTGTATGCTTTCTACTCACCAGTCAGAGTCTGTGGCAAGGTTCGAGCTGGACCATCCTTCTTGTTTGGCAAAATGCAGCCAGAGCTCGGCCGAGCTCGGCACACCTGCCTGTGCGATCTCCAAAAATATCCGATATCCTTTTCGCTCTCGGATCGAATCGAATCCTTCGCTGTCGAATCGCCAAAAGGCGAAAAGTCCATTTGCTCATCGTTAACGTCGTTGCAAGTACGCCCCTTCTCTTCAGAAACTGCACGAAGGAAGACTCAGCTCATAAGTCTTTTGTCTTCTTTTATGGCTCCTTTGTTCTCAACTGTGTTCTCAAACCCTGCCCTAAATGCCATAGTAGAAGGGAAGGCCTCGATCAGCTTTGCTTGGTTGCAAAATTTCCGTTGCTTGCTGCCTTGCATTCGTACTCCAGTTTGTAATAGACGCACTGCTTCGTAACCTCAGTTGATTCAGGGCGCATGAGGGCCTCTCGGCAAAACCGAGGCTTATGGTGCTTTACTGTTCCAAAGCTATTCCATTGCCTCAGTGAAACACACGAATGGTCATCACTGCTATGGCCCGCATAAAAATCATTCGCCCAAGAGGTCAGGCCACCTGCCGAATTGTTCTGGAATGGAAAATGATGCGCAAGTGAAATCAGATGTTTGGTGATGTGTGATTGTGGAATATGGGTGAGATATCTAAGCTAGTTAGAATTGGTGTGGATGATGTTTGAGCAATTTTGCGCAATGACGCAGAGCCGTGGGTCATCTGAGGCCGGTGTGGTGTGGTGAGCTTTAACGAAGTGGGCCGAGTGAATGGCTTTCTGGGCACAAAGGGAGGGACTTGAACCGAACCGCAGGACATTTCTCATCACAGGCTCATTCTGTGAACCCAGCGTTTTGCAAAAACGCGCAAGCCCCAAAGCAACAACGAGCCTCCAACAACACAACTTATCTGGGGGGCTCTAGGTGGCATGTCCTTTTCGGTCGTATGGGTCTGTTGCCTCAGGTCATGTGTGTTATCCTCTCACGAGAATATGACTCCGCAATGAAGACACGTCTTTTTCAACTGTTCCTGTGACGCCCCTGAGGCCCTGATCAATCATTCTTCATGCGGCAATTTTGTCCATCCAATCGTTTCCCGCGAGAGAAATGCTTCATCGGGGCATGTGGGGCCACGGCTACCACGGGTATCTATAGTAATAGTATCTACCAAGTTAGAGATTGCTGTTCCAGGCGTTACTGTTTTTGGTGACAAAAAACCAACTCACCGTCAAGCCTGGCTGATCTGAGGTCGCCTCAAAAAGCGAGAAAATGCTTGACGTGAGATTGAGGTTAGCGACAACGTGTGAAGGCAACGTTTCGCCACAGTTTGAGAGGGATAGGCTGTCCAACTGTTGCTGGTCCTGAAACCACACCAGGCACTTGTGAAATAAACGACGCCGTAATCTTGTGGCGCCCCTGCGCATCATCAAAACGAGGCTTTCAACACATCAGAGTACTGTCTGTATGACGCAAACATTTCTTCAACCTGTTGGGAGCACACTTAAACCCGATGCGACAGAGACTTCTTGCGAAGCTACCTCCGCAAATTCACTCCTTACACCTTCTTTCGTTTCCCAATTCTTTTTCCGTCGTTTCTACGCCCTGTCCCTCACCTTGGCAGCCCAGGAGTGGAAGCCCCGAAGCGTGGTAGGCGGCAATGACCAGCCACCCTGGGAGGCGGCAGTCATCATTTTACGTAAGACTGCGAGCCTGATGGGGCAAAAGGTGAAGCACTGAAAGCACATAAACACAAAAGGATGTATCCAACAGACTAAATGTAGGGAAACATATGGTAAGCTTGCGGTGCTCAAAGCATCAAAAGATGTGAAGGAGAGAAAGGCCACCAACTACAAAATACCAAGAGTGAGGCTGATGGCGTGAAGGTACGAACCCAGTATGATCATATTATGTGCCAAGGGTGGCGGCCAAAAAAGCACACGGGACATCAAAAGGTGTGATGCTGATAGCAAGAGGTGTGATAATCTCTTCAAATAATGTGGCTCAAGGCAAGGGGCGAAGCAGAACATAGCTGCTAGCAAGAACACAAACAAACAGTTGTCAAAATATGTCAATGTTATTTTGCTGACACCTCAAAGGTCTATGATGCCATCAAAAGCGAGGCACTGAGAGCATGGAGACAGCCTTTCAACACATCAAAAGGTGCAGCACTGAACGCATTATGGCACCTTGGGAAGTCACTCATGATCTCGTTGTCAAAAAGTGTGATGCTGCATGAAACAACACTAGAAAGAATAGCGTTAACGCACGAAGGCACATATGATGTTGTTTTGATCAACGTGCTGACACTGACAGGAACTTGAAACCAGCATGTTGACTTATCAGTAACAAGTGTTCGCTACTAGTAACAAGTGCATCGCTTCTAGTAACAAGTGCCTTATTAGTAGTAACAATGTTAGCGAACGTAGAAACAATAAGCTACTAGGAACAACTGCATCGCTTGTAGTAACAAGTGCCTTACTAGTAGT